CAACTGTTGTGTAAGTTGAGAGGAGACAGCCCAGCCTGGGGGTGTGTGTGTGTGTGTGTGTGTGTGTGTGTGTCTGTGTGTGTGATTTGTGTCCTGACTTGACCTCTCCAGCAGCACTGATAAGACATCCAACAGGCATGACACACACACATACTGATGTGATTCTCTCTCTCTTCCCCTCTCTGTTTTATCTTTACTGTTTCTGGCCGTGCTGCTGACCATCGCTGCTCCTCGCTTTGTAATTTATGCAACGCTGGAACCGATTAGCCCCATATGACTTAAGCTTAGGTTAGTTACATTCCACATCAGTCTTTGCTCCTTGCAGCCTTTGTGCTGTCACATTTTCTGGCTCCAGGAGCGCTCGTTAACCACCTCTGACATTATTTTAGTATCCATCAATGCAGCGCTAGATATATATTACCCAAAGCTCCATTTATGTCATGTGATGTAAGCAGTCTTGGGAAACGGAGCTAGACAGAACAGAGTCTGTGAGTAAGAGTTTTGTTGGAGACCAAAGCGTGTCAGAGCTGCAGGTCCCTGACATCTCAAGTGGGGTTCATTAAGAGAGTTTTCTGTCATCCTGTCAAACCCTCTGGTGCTGGGAGGAGACGACTAAAGTGAAAATTCAGGGAATTTCAGGCATTCGAAATAGACTCACAGGTTTACTTCTGATGCTTCATGCGATGAACTTGACAGCCTGATAATATCTTATGACCAACTCTGCAACGTCCAGAAACAATAAGAGCCCTTTTTACCCCGCTATACCACAGGCAATGGTTACTACAGTCTGCCTTTGTGTTGCTCAAAGCTGTTACTACATGCAGTGCGAATCTATTTATGGCCTTTCACTCAGCCTGGCAATGGCTCGCCCACAGCCATATTCCATGATTTATATGAAAAATGCCCCTCTCCACCCAGCTTGGGTTTGTGGTTAGCTGTGACTGGCACGCGACTCATGGTATTTCCTCCAGAATGATAGTAAGAGAGTCACACACCGGCACTCTCAGGCATAAACAAGGTCTTCTTGAAAGGCACACAGGATGTAAACACTGAGGAGGACAAAGAGAGAAAGAGGGAGAGAAAGGGAGAGAGAGGGAAAAAAAATGTGGACAAAGTGAAACAGCAACAGAAAGAAGAAAGAAAGAATGAGGTGAGGCAGGTTTATTTGTCTAACACCGTTCAGACACAGAGGCAATAGCTTTTAATAATTGTACATTATTCCAGTGATTCACTCGGGGCGGCCATCTCAGTGGAAAGAACCCTGATTCTTTGACTTTGACCGTTTAAATCTGCTCTTTCTTTTCCTCAACAACTACAGCGTGCAGTCTGTCTTACAAGAGAAAAACATTTTATACACATCAACCCAGCAGTGAATTCATAATCTCTCTACACAGACTGCAGCTGTACACTTCCACACATCAACAGGATGGTGTAACTGTAACTTTGCTGGGTTGTGGTACAGTACATTTTCTGGTTTTGGAACAATGGCGATCATTTGCAGGTTTAAGCCCCAACTTAATACCCACAAGGCCACAAAGATTGTCTGCGCTCTCTTGTGGATGGAGCTGCCCTGGGATGTTTTTTATGACTGACAACTATGGGGTTGTGGTTTTCTGGTTTTCCATTGAGAGAGCTGTTCATCTTAAAATGCTGAATGGCCAATTTAGCTCCTGGGAATTAGATGGTTTTCTTTTTTGAGTTTGTTGTTATCAAAATGTCCCATTTGTTTAGTGAAGGAGTTCCCTTCAGTTTTTTTTATTTTTTTTATCTGTGCAGCAAATGGGCACACATATAAGTATTCATTACTGCTTGGCTCCAGCTTGCCATAAGTCATGAGGGTTTAAAGTGTTACTCATCAATGGCGGGGGAATGGGGAAAAAGGTGGGTCATTCAACCGGTGATGGAATTATTCAGCAGTGTATTAGATTCTGTGTCCCCTCCACTCATGTGTGTCATAAGGTGTTTCACGCTTGTTTACGTTTTGTCCAGGAACATATCGGTTACCTGAGCCCCGGCCTAATAATCTGCATCCAGGGCACGTGTGTGGGCGAGAGTCAAGTATCAGCAGCACATTTGAAAACAACACCATCAACAACACTCAGTGCGGCTGACAAACACTGGTCGCCGATCCTAACAAAAGCAGCATGTGTGTTTGGAAAAGTCTGGCACCCAGTTGCAGGTGGAGGCAGTCCGTCTCTGTGATCCAACCGCAGGAGTTGTCGTGTCGCTGTTGCGGTCCAAGATTTGTATTCTGATAATAGAGTCAACAAGAGCATCATTGTCTGGTTTTTGGTGTAGGGGAGGGTCTTCTCAGCCTCCTGGTTGTTCCTCACTACATTTCCTCTACAGTGTCCCTTTGAGTCTTTCTTTTTACATTTACATATCAGAAATTTAGCTTGTTGTTTTATCAACACGAGAAATATTCCAAGATGGCTGTTTTTTAAGCAGTGAACGGAGAAGTTCGTAGCTTTCTAAGTGTCTGCTTTTTGGCTGATTTCTTCATCTGCACACAGCTGAGAAGCAGAAGTGGAAAAAAAAAAAAAAAAATCAACCAGTGATATATCCAGCAGAGAACAAAGCAAAGGAAATCACAACCAAAACCCTCTTTTTCAAATTTATAGCTTAGATCTTTTAAACAACCAAAAATTTTTTTGTTTGTTTTTGTCTCCTCTTTGTTGTGGTAAACACTTTTATTTCAAGTTATCAATTATTGAAGTTTAAACGCGGAGTTTGTAACCTCCCCTCACTTCTTTCATCCTCAAATTCATTGTCTCAACTTTTATTTTTGAAGGTTTTACATGGATAAAGAGGCTATAAAATTTGTTTATGTTTCATTACAGACATAAAATGTCCTCAGTTACATTAAAAAAATGTTCAATAACAAAATGTTTACAACCACAAAATCTTTAAATATATGCAGTTGAGAGTCACAGTTATCAGACCTGTTTGATTTGATATTTGCTTTTTGACTATTTTCTGGTTCTCTTATTACCCACATTAGGACATTGTCACTAAAACAGCAATTTAATATACTTCTCTTAATAGTGTAATGACCTTTGTTAACAGTCGTATCCATCTGCTGTTCTACAGGATTAATAAAACATCAAAACCAGAGAGGGGGCTACTCCTTGAAATCATTAAATGTGAGCAAGACAATAAAATTGAGATTAAAAAGCCAAAGAGCACATTGGAAATGGTCCAGTCTCTTCTTGTTTTCAGTCTAAACCTGGGAATGACCCAGAGACCCTTGCCCAAGAATCACACTGTGCAGCTCATGAGGGGATTAAACGGTCCAGGATTGGATAAAATCTTAATTCTTTCTCTATATAACGCATGTGTTGTGGTATCGACTGGGTAGTCTCTTTTAGCTGAGGGATATAAAAAAAAAATCCCTCCACTATTGCTCCTAATAATGTTGTGAGGTTAGCACTCTGTGGCTGGCCAAATGTGTGTGTTCTGAGCGACTCATTTATTGACTTAGAGAGTTCAGGGAGGAGCTCATGTCAATAAGCTGGCCTGCCCCATGCTGGCTGCACCATATGGAGAGGTCTGGTTGTAATTCGTGGGACAGGCCAGGGCATAGTGCCAGGGAATTAGAGAGGCGGGCGGCAGGAGACATTTTAATTTGTGCTGCCATGTGCAAAGGCATGCACCTCCAGCCTGGGTCGGTTCCTGTGATTAGGCCGACTAGCGTATTCTTAGAAGAGGGGAGGAGCAGCAAAACATGGGGAAATAAAGCAAAACCCAGGAAATGCTATTGATTGTTTGAAATGACATAGAAGGTCTTAATATAATCCTGCGACATGGTTTTATAGTAATGTGATGTTGTCTTAGAGCAGCATCCCGACCCCATCAGCATCAGATGGCAGTTAGTTAGAGACCGTTTCACTGAAGGCACAATCATGTAACACACCACACTAAGATCAGAGATGCACCTGATTTAAAGCTCCAGTTATCAATATTTTACATTTATGATATCTAAAAATGCCATGTCTAATGATAACAAGGTTGCTCATTGTGTCAAATTCAAAGAGAATATCAGCCAACTCTGCAGTTCCCCTCAATTTTAGCCTCTTTTACGTCATTGTTTTGGCTGAACACCCTGCAAATGATGCACTAATTAACCCTGTCTCCAGCAGCATGCAGCTGTTTTCAGCTACTGATAAACCAACCATACATTTACACCAAACGCCAAATAGCTAGTTGGCAACTAGATGTCAAATTAAGCATTAGCAGCTAAAGGGACGGATGCAGTTTTTCCCTCAGCAATTTGTTGAGACCAAAACAGAGCTAAAAGGATATTTGCTGGGTGACCAGAAACAAGACTCCAAATGAACGATAACCTCTGTGTCTGCTTGATGTTTGAATAGGCAACACATTCAACATGCATTATGAAGTCTATAGGTGCACAACGGAGAGTATGTTATGTTCATTTGGAGTCCAATAGTCACTCTTTTGTTGCTCTGTTTTTGGTCTTCACCACCTCCTGAGGGAAATCTGTGGCTCTGTAGCAGCTAAATGAATTCTCTCCAGCTAGTCGCTAAGTTCCTCTTCACATTGTTACATTTTGACATTCTCATTTGAGACATCCTTATTACGAATAAATGAATTATAACTGCTTTAAAGTGATAATCAAATTCGTATTTTTTTGGTAACACCTTTGTTAACAATTTGTCACTGCTTTGGGGTTTTGTACCGGTGCAGCTGATGTAATAAAGGCCCAGGTCCAACATGTTGAAATAAAGTCACCCATCGTAGACCGCAACAATATTTCTTCTGCCACATGTTGCTGCCTCTGGAAACATCAAATCTATTCTGCATCCTGCAGGAAAGCATTTGTTCTGGGACAAAGGGATCCTTTCACAGGTGTTTACAATATTGTCATCAGCATTGAATGGTAGACTATTCATCAGGATCGGGGAGCAAATAATGGGAAATTCATATAAAATACGTCATAGAATGGTACTACGGACTTGATTTATTCACTATTTTCCAGAGAGTGTGTTTATTTCAATAAAATTACAGAATAGAATAAAATGACACTGCCTAAACATGATGGATACAAGTCTGTTTTAATGTTAATTCAGTATTTTAGTGATTTCATTTGAAATCAGAAGCAGGTGTAGTATGATTTGTCATGTAACAGTGTCACATTAAGCTCTGTGTCTCTGATTATCTCATCATCCAGAGTCAACTGGTATAATTCTGAGGATGGATTTGGTCCAGTGGGACTCGCTGCTGTCTCTCCTGGCTCCGGCAGTAAGGGAGCACCTTCACATCTCCACGGTGACAGATTCCCATGAAAGGAGCAGAGCAGCACACTCAAAAGCCACTGAAGATGAAGAGCTTTGTTCTGAAATGAGACATCCAGGAAAAAAGACCAACTCCTTCAATCAGAAATTCATTCAGATCATGAATCTGCTGTAGAAAATGTTGCTAATTAGCATTTTCCACCAAAATCAAGAAACATGTACGTTGTTTTTGTAAAAGAATGAGCTCAGTTAAAGCTTTGATGTTTAAAGGCCCTCACTTTGCTCGGAGCTGTGATTTATGCTCAGTAATTCTGTGTTGCAACCGAGAGGCGATCGAATTCACCGGAGGCTTGTCAGGTGTAAAAGCTGTAAGCATTCCTCTGTTTCCTAGACAATGGGATTACGGGATATAGACAGTGAGATAGGCAGCCTGGGCATAGGGGAGGACCTCGCTCTCATTAGTGAGCTGGGGAGAGGATGGCAATTACCACTATAAGTCCCACAGGAAAACAACTCTACAGGGATTTGTTAGGTGTGTGATCCACTGTACGTAAAGGTGACACCTCTTCCTCATGTGAGAGACTGCTGCATGGATGTAGGTTTTCCTAGTAAAGAGCTCTGCTAATGATAAAGAGAATCTTACAGGACTTTAATTTCTTTTTGTTTGAGTTCACAGTTAGAATTCACCACGTCATATGAGGATATTTGTATGAGGCATTAGAAGTTTATCCAGGAGAATTAGCTTATCATTTATTTGTTTAAAACAGATAGTCATAGTCTTGGCCAACATTCACATCATCATTCATATCAATTAAAACAGTATTTTATTCACTGGGTCAATTGCTGAGATATGGGAAACAACTTTGAAACAAGCCCAGAAGGCAAACAACTTATTGAGAAGTTCTTGCACTTCTTTCAAAGTTCCAAAAAAAAACAACAAAAAAAAACAGAAAAGTAATGGTTTAATGCTGAGCTACTGAACTTATCATACCCGTGTGTGCATAATATTTTACAATGCAACAGATGAAAATAACATTTCATTTTTGGTTTCAGTTCAAACAAGTGGCCTAGATAATTGCTTTTAACTGGCAGTCTAACCACTCCTGCTGCCCTATCGAACTCTGCTGTAAAGCTCTTTTATGTTTGGCTCCGTCACTGATGTAACAACATGCAGTAAGTGGGCACAACAGTGGGCATGGAAGCTATAATTATGAAGAGAGAAAAGCCCTTTAAAGATTGGTTATCTTCAGCAACATTCAAATTTTTGTTAAATGTAAAAGCACGTTTAAATGTTTAATCTCTGACCAGAACCTATAGAAATATTAATACCACTTTATCATACGACTACCCCTATAAAGGACAACTAGATTATTAATTTGGTTGTTAACATTTTATAAGGGTTAGGGTTATAAATTATAACACAGTTTTCATACACTGATGCAGGCTCACTATTTGACAAGATCGAGTTAATGCTTACTACTCATGTTTCTAATGATTTATTACCATATAGAAAGCCTTATTGTAAAGTGTAAAACACATCACCACTTTTGAGTTACTAGTATTTATAACTGGTACAAGGGAGCCTTACGGTAACTCATTAATAAATGATGATGGGTTACAATAAAGCTCCCTTTTACCAGTTATAAATACTAGTAACTCATTAATAAATGTCATGGTAAACAATATTGCCAAGGCCTTCGAGTATGAATCTGGTAATTTGACAAGATAACTTGATAATTTGATAATTTGATCTGCAAAAATGAAACTTTTAGACCATTATGATGCTGACGGTGGTTAATTGCTAGTAGCTTAACAAATATGTGAAGAAGCAGCAGGTACAAGTGCTGGATGATGGAGAAAACAAAGAAAGCTAGGAAACGAATGCCATATTAGGCTTAACAGTACAGATAAATGTAGGCTCACTATTTGGCAAGCAACAGGTCACTGTTGCCCTTTTTTTTAATCTAATGTGTTATAACAGCTTATACATGATTTATAAAATGTTAACAAGCTAATTAATTAGTTGTATAGGTGTAATAAGTGGTACTGAAATATCTATTAATTTAGGATCATCTCTTAATGGCAATATTACAATATGAGTGCTTTGCACACAAGCACATCAGAAACCAGTGTTAGTGTTACTCAGGATGAAAAATGTGTGTCTGTGTGTGTCTATTCGTGAGAGTAAGAGCGGCTGTGCATGCGTGTGTGTGTAAGTGTTGTGGGAGAGCCGATTCAGTGTTGCTAATGACTGCCTTCCCATGAGCTTAATCAAAGATTTGTACATTTAATTGCTGTCAAGTCAGCGCTCACCACCTGCCACGTCTTGCCACACATGTGCTCACCCCCTCTCTGGGAGCATTTCCAGCTCCATCTATCATCCCTGGCTGAAGGCTGAGACAACACAGCCTGCTGGGCAACCTGCACTCAGCCATCCAGCCGGGCCCAGCCAGGCCTGCGCAGCATGGACCCGGAGAGCCTGCTCAGCGCGGCGGGAGGTCTGTCAGCACCTGGGCCTTACAGTGCCGAGCCATTCCTCACATTATTAAAAACAGACTAGCCCAAAACTGACACAGAATAAAGCCACTGAGATTTATGTTTTTGTTTTCCCCTCTCACGGAAGCATTCACATGGCCGTGCGCAACCTGGCTGTGACATGAGATACGTATGAAAGCAGAGGAGCTCTGTGAAATGCCGCCAACCTTGCACCTCTTTAGGCCTCACCCTTACTCCCACGCTAACTGCTATCACTGCGTGTGAGAATTGGTGGTCTGCTTTGTCCCTCAGCACAGCCCAGGATGGAATGTGGGCCTGATCTGTTATCAGTCTCGGCTTGTTTTCCCAGCTGATGCCCACAGGCCTGGTGTAACGCAGCCACACTCTTGCACGAGCTGCGCGAGGATCTGTCAGGACTGTTCGCTAATGCCTCTCACCTTTGGATTTGTGGGGCTATTACAGTATGCATGACAGACATTATTAGTCCCCAGAGGCCTGAGCCTCCCTGGGAGCTACAATACAACACCAGGTGGATTTTGACAGAGTGGGAGGCTTGTGCTGTGCACACTGCCAGACAGGATCCAGGGAGGCATGTGGAGGCTGTTTTATAGCTTGTTGGTCATAAGTGGTTGTTCGATGAGCACCTCATAGTATTCAACGCAGTGATCCCTTTATCTGACACCTGCAACTCCAAATAACTCTATAATGTTACGTAACAAATGGATTTATTGGTGTTAATAGAAACGCAAAAAAGTGGTTAAATTGACAGCTTGTGGTGAATATCTTTGGCTGATGTAAATCTTACATGCTATTACATTTACAGACCTGATGGATCGTTTTAAAAAAGTATGAATTCATTAGCATTTATTCAGTCATCAAGTCTGTAGTTATAAATATTATTGAGTCAGTAAACAAAGGTTATATAAATTCTTAATATTTGAATAGTGTAGCCTAACATGAAGTTTTATTTTGAAAAGTTGTGAGGTTTTCACACAGCATTTGGAAGCAATTTGAGCTTTAATTTTTTTTGGTGGTGATTATCATCTGAATTATTACTCATCCACTTTCCATCTGCCAGATTGTCACATGAGCACTTACAGTATCTACTTGACAAAAATCAAACAGAAACCTTAAAAAGTAGAACACACAACACCAACATTTCACACGGGAGCACGTACAGTGCGGCGGTGGCTCAGGTGTTACAGTTAATCCAATGTTATATTCATCCTTGAAAGTTTGCTAATTGCCCCATACAAGGCTCCAGGCTAGACAGAAGAAAACAGGCCTGACCTGTACGGTGGGAGTCGCTTTGAATGTAAGCCGGCAAGTCTGGACAGGGCCTTCTGTAGCCTAGCATCTCCTGGGGCCAAAGCACTGCATGCAAGTGATCCAGACCTGCTCCCATGGGTCCCTGTGCCGGGGAGCAGGTGGAAGACCTAGCTGCCTGTTTGACTCCCTGAGCTCCTCTGTGGCCCGGGCTTTTCACTGCCTAGAGGAAAGAAGAAAGGTGACAGGCCTTCCAGCAGGCTCTTATTTCCTTCACATTCTGTCAGCCAAGAGATTTCCTTGATGGAGATTTGAAGCTAAATAGAATATATTATGTGTGATTAAAGAAAGTGAAGACTGTCTTGTAGTACTGACTGCTTTTAAACCCACATTTAAGACTTTCTTGATCTTGAGGTTCCTAATTTCAAATCTGAGCTCAGCAGAGGAAAATCAGTCACATTAGCTGATATTAACATATTAATGGAATCTCTCTCTCTCTCTCTCTCTCTCATACCAGCACCTGCAAATGTTGAATTGAGTGGCTATAGATATTTTAGGTTATCATAGGCTTTTTTTTAACCCACTGTATTATATTGTATTGTATTGCTGTATTGTATTTAAATATTGATTATTGGTTCGATGTCTGTTGTATGCTTTTAGTCAGTTACAGCTTTGTGTGTTCTTTTTTATGTTGTTTTTTGTATCAAATTTGACCCACTGAGAAATACAGCCATTCACTTTCTTGTTGAGAATGACATAAAAACATTGACACCATTCTCATTTTGGTCCGTTTAGTATGTAACTGGAGCCTTGAGCTTTAGAAGCTCTAGAAGGTGGATGTTGTTACTCTTAGACAGAGCTGTTTCTCTACGTTTACAGTCTATTGCTAAGCTCAGCTAACAGGCTAACAGCTGGATCCAGATTCATATTTACCGGATTATGACAATGTCAATCTTACATAATGTGTCAACCTTCTCATCTAGCTTTGGGCAAGAAAGCGACTAGGTGTGTTTCCCAAACTATTCCTTTAAGACTGCAACATGTAATTTACTGTCCTGAATCCTGAGTGAACAGCTCTGCACGGTTGGCTGGTGGTTGAATGAATCAATAAATCAATCAATGAAAAATGCCACTTCTACTGAATGAAAAAAAAAATTATATCAAATTATTTTCTCAGATACTGTATCTAAAGAAGAATGACATCAGATGAAAGTACAATGCAGCAGCACAGATTCTTGACGACTGTATGAAAACATACAGTTTTACTTGGACTTGGATCCACCTCCTCATATTTCATAGAGCAGTTCAATTTTTACTACATCAAAAGACTGATGCTGCA